AAGGAGTGCTACCTTGCAAGTTAAAACACTATTGTGCACGAATTCCTCTTTAACCAAAGCATCTGTTGCTTCATCAAAGGGAGGGGAAGATACCAGAATACTTTTTCTCCTCAAGGCAGTTTGTGTAGTCAGAAGGGTAAAAATGTTACGTTTAAAGATTCAAAGTTTTAGCTACCAAAAAGTATAAAGTACATTCAATATAGATAAGAACTTTGTGATTGTCAAAGCAAAATAACTCAGTGGTTTTAAAATATATATATTATTTCCTATGTAATTCTTTAGTGTTGTCTTGGACTTTTTTTCTTTTTTCCCAATGTAAAAGTTTTTTTTTTTTCTTTTCTTTCTTTTTTTTTTTTTTTTAATGATATTGTGTACCTTCTACAGAAATATAACTGAAGTTCTTTGTTCTTAGTTTTTTTTGTCTTTTCAAATGTTTCTTATAGTTTCTACTCATCACATAGAAAAACAAAATTTACTGTGGTAGGATAAGCTGAACTGCATATTTTACTTGTAAATAAAACGAGTAAATATTTTGCATTATATTTTTGAATGCTATGTTGAGGATTATCATTCAAAAAGCAAAAAATCATTAAAACTAATTATAACTGGTTGGCTGTATTCAATTGTGCTATTATTTAAAAATTATTTTTGTCCAACCTAATGACTAGATTGACACCTTTATACAAAGACGGAGCATTTTTTCCCTGGTTGTGATGTGTATAAATATGCATAAAGAGGTACACCTACAGTCTCTAACATATATACCCCTGTTAAGTACTGTGGCTTGTTTTAGAGCTGAAAAGGGAATCAACTTCATTGGCCCTTAAAATGAACAAATAAAGGTGAATACAATGATTTTTTCTTTTTGCTGAAAAACTGTAAGAATGTATTTGCATTTGGTTCCTTGCTTATTTATTATTTATCACAAAATTACACATTTCAGCATAGCTACAAGTCAACCAATCTTGCCAGGTGTTCCAGTTATAAAGATCTGCTAAGGTGGAGTGAAATTTTGAACCATACCAGTAGAAATATTTTTGGTATCTGTATTTTGAAAAAGATGCATCCTTGCACAAAGGCTTAAGTGGAATGGAGCTTGAATTGAAAGATGTTTCCCTGTCGTGATGCTTTGCTACCCTATAGGTTTGATCTCATTATGAGGGTCCAAGACCTGGCCCTGGGGTAAAGCCTGTAGTGGAAGGTAGTGCTTAGAGATGGACCATCGTGCTGAATCCTGGCCCTGTGTCCATTCCTGCTTTTGTTCTCTTAACAGGTATTCTGCTGCAGGAGTTAGTGGGGAAGGAAGGTGAAGGAGGCCTGGCCAAAGGACAGAGCAGATGGACCCAAGATACAGTAGTGCCAGTATACATCAGCTGGCAGGGTTGTGTAAATGGGTGCATTAGAATATGATAGCTGCAGTCTGTGGTTTAGTTACTGTGCGCCTGTGGAAGGCAATCATAATAACATAATGCTGTGATACTTAATTTACTGACTTGATCCACACATCACTGACCTTTTCCTCTGGTATGCAAATAGAGTTTTTAAAGCTCATTAAAAAAGCAACTCTTCATAATGTGTACCAAAGATGCAACATATGTGGTGTCTGAGCTCATTACATTAGAAATGCCTTGTAAAACTCTTCACAGACTAATAAATTTAACTCTTAAACCTTGAATATAATTTCAAATTGTAATTACAAAAATGTAGTTTTAATTAAAACCTTTTCAGATTTATTTTAGCAACAAGATTTCTTCTGAGGCCTTGTATTCTTTCAGAAATTGGCATAGAATAAAGAAAATTGTTGCATTCCCATTTTTCTGATCATCTGACAAATGAAATGAGTTGCCTTCTGTAGTCTATCTGGACACGTGAATGCTTTGCCATCATTTCCATTTGTATTCATGTATTTGCCAGTACAACTGGTAGAGAAGCTAACCACTCAGTAAGTATGTATCTTTTCACCTTTAGAAAGGTGAATGTGAGGACTATTGAGAGACATCAACCATCAAGAATTCTTGCCTGCTTTTTTCTGTTTTCATGAGTGAAAAAAAAACAAGACAAGTCAACACATAAAATGCAGTATTGCTTAATGAGCATGGGTTTTGGACATTTGAAAGAGTTTCTAGCTGGCAAATATTCAAAGCACTGTTACCCTATAAAGTGTTGCCTTTTGCATTCTGGCAGGTCTTTCAATTAAAGTCTAAACTGAAATCTTGCTAAGAATACAAAACCCTTTTTTACTTTGCTAAAAAAAATAAAAATCTTCATACATTTCCTGAAATGTGTGGTTGTTTATGACTATACCAAAATAAAACTAATGAAATATATACTGGTGTATAAATGAGTTAACAGGCTACCTCTGCATTTCAGTATTACTGGTGAAAGCAGCATGGAAGAAGTAGTCTTGCTAAAAATGCAACAAACACACAAAAAAACCCACACTGATATCCTAGAGTACTTGAAAACATGCTAAATGGTACAGGTGGTCGATGTATGACTTACAAGATCTTTGCTAGCAACCACTATTTTCTTGTCAGAAAAATGGCAAGTTTTTTATTATATCACTCGGTATATGTTTGACCATAAAGTTCTTTGAGGGTGTGGGCAATGCTGTTCAAACAGAATTTCAGTATGTTACTGTGGCTTCTAATTAGGAAGAGTACACTTCTTTGGTGCCCACCTTCACAAAGAAAATTGGCTAATCAGGAGTTGTTAACAGCTCAGGGTGAAATCAGTACTATTTTGGGCAGACTGGTCTATCTGTCTCCACCAGCTAACTTCTCTGTAAAGTACGGACAATTTTATGTCTACCTCCCAAAGGATTTAAAGACCTTTAAAAAAATATATATATATATATATATATAAAAATTATATATAATCTATATAATTATATATTATATATTATATTATATATATATAATTGCAATTGATATTGTTTGGAAAGTTTTATTTTAGTATATAAGAAAGAGATATGTTTTTATCTTTACTCTGGGGAGATCAGAGTCTACAGACTTAAACTAATTAGAGAAAAATCAATGTCAGACTACGTTTGAAGCATCATATTTGAAAAACACTTCATAATTTCTTCAGATTTCAAAATCTAGACTTCTGTGTGTATCTGTATAGTGCAGTGCCAGGAGGAGAGAGGCTTGCCATGCAGAAGTACCGGGAACAGCATAACTGTGCAAGCACATCTTTCTGTCTGGGGTAATTAGCCCTGCAGTGGTACACTCTGGAAGATGTGAGCTAGTTCAGAGATTGCTCTAAAGCACGGCATTGTATTTGTTGGCATGCCCTTTGTGCTTTAGCTTCCAATCTTAAAATCTTTTTGGCTTGAAGGAGATTAAAAGTTAATTCACTCGTGTTTCATAATGTGTATGAAACACACATACGGCCAGAATTAAGGTTCCATGGGCAGCATTAAATGACATTTTTTAACTTCTGAATGTTTTTACTTAACAATCTTATTAAGTCACTTAATGAATTTTTAGACATATAACAAGCCTTCAGTTCATCAAACTAAACGTTTTGAAAGAGAGCTTTAACCCGTTAAATAAAAGAGGATTACATATGTAACTAACTACAAGCGGGGCCTTTCAAGGATAATTGAATTTCTGTCAAATGTTGTCTGTTACATCCTGGTTACGGAATTGTAGCATTTTGTGTTTCCCTGGGGGTAGATTTTCTCTGCAGTGTATGTGGGCTTGGGGCATCTTAATTTTAAGACACAAATCAGGTTATTTTAAAGGAATAAACTTTTTTTTTTTTTTTTTTTTTTTTGCTATGTTGTTTTTTAAGGTTAGTTGTCTTCATCTAAATAAAAGCCATTCCGTAATGTTTAACTGTTTAGAGCTATTTCATACACGTAGCTTGCAAATCAGTTTACCATTTGTCAGTAAGAAATCTCACATAGTTTTTATTACCTTTATTGCTTCATTTTAGAAAAATAAAAGCAGCATATAATTCACATATATTTTTCCTTGGTTAATAAAATAATTATTTTATGACTGTTGTGATATCTGAAACTTCTTTACCACAGTAATGCATTTTGTTTCCAGTTTCAATTTTGTAGCTGTAGATTTCACTGAAATCCTCAAATATGGGATATGCCTGATTACTTGAGCATACTTGCAAGCTTTCAGAGGTTTAACACTTATGGTCTATGCATAATCAATGTGTATGATAGTGCAATTAATGTTAACTTTAATGAAGTGCATGAATATTTAAAACTTAATGAATCTGACTTTACACTGTGCTTTACAGCCCCATTCACACACGTGAACAGTGTTGACTGTTGGCCTCTGGATGTCAGCAGTGTATCACAAAATTCCTGTCATCAGCCACTGCTTCCCTGCTGCCTCCCAGAAATATCTGTGACTTGTGGTCTCTGCACACCTCCAGAACACCCAGTGCTTTTTCCTCTTATAAATTATTCACTTTCTCTGTACCAATTAGTTCTACCAGTTGCTAGGTTTGTTATCAAGTTAAGCTCCAAGACAAGAACCTGAACTCAATGAGTGATTAAAAATTTATTAGCAGAGATGATTAAATATGCAGATAGTCTGTGAAGCTTGTTCTTGAAACCATTACCTTTTTAATACTAATGATTTGTATAATTAATTTTAAAAAAGCCTGAAAGTCTTTTAGGACATAAAAGGAAAGAGATTAAACGCAGAGGAGGCAGTGAACCTGAGTATTAAAACAGCTCATTCACACATATAGGCAATAAAGTGATTTCCTTACAGGGATAGTTTGTGCTTTTTCCCCCCTCTGCTAAGTTGATTATTTTATTAATCTTTCAAGCATTTTGGGAAAATTCGATCCACTAATGAGCTGTATTTTCAAAACAGAATTTTGTGGCTAACACTGATAATAATCACCGTTCCTCTATGCTTTAGAGTTAAAAAATGCAGTTTCTTTACTGAAATGCAGCTTCCACTGCATTTAGGCATATGCTCAATTTAGGCGTGTGTGTGGCACTGGAGTTGCCATGGGAACCGCTCAGGTGCTCAGGTGAGGCCCAAGGTGTGGGAGCACAGGGCACAGGAGCAGCAGGCTGATGGGCAGCACCATGAGGCAAAGTTAGCCAGAGAGGGCTGTGAGACGAGGCTGTTACTCACAGCTGTGCTCAGGGCACATTTTGCACATTAGGAACATTTTGCACGTTAAGCACATTTGGAATGAGTAGCAGGAGGGTCTTTCTGGAGCCTGTGTGAGGGAGACGTGGCCACCAGGCTGGCCAGACTAGTGATGGAGGGCATGTTGGCTCTCCTCCCATGGTGAAAATAAAATCAATCACTTTATTTGCCATTAAGGGAGTAACTAGAGAAGTGAGGTGGTGGCCTCTGGGGACTGCCTTTTTCTTTTCTGAGGGAAAAGAGCCCCAGTAGCAGAGCAGCTGTGGTGAGGGAGCTGTGGTGGGTGCCCAGCTGTGGGCTTTGAGGGAGCCCCATGGCTGGAGCCAGACAGTGCTGGTGGCTTTGTGAGGCCTGCCAGCATGTGCTAGTCTGTGGTCACATGCAATATATTAGATTGTAATAACCTTGTGAGACAGGATGGAATGTGACAAGACCTCTCTACAGGCCAGGGCTGTGAGCTGTGGTCCTTGTGGACTGCTACGCATGGGATAGGTAAGAGCAGCCCTGTGGGCCCTCAGTCCCATTCAGTCCCATTCCTAGGGGAACAAGTGGTACTCTTGGCTAGGGGGAGGGAGTGCTGAAGCTGCTCGTGGCCTCATTTTTTTCTCCCTCTTTCCTTTCAGCTCTGCTTATTCACTGACCAGCACAGCCCTATTGAAGAGCATGTCTGAGGGATGCTGCTGTGGATGAGGTGTGATCTAAGGTAAGGCTTTGTCTCCAGCATTTTCTGGGGATCCCTCTTTCAGTGGGCCTTGAGGAAAAGGGGCTCTGAGCAGCGTAGGAGCTGCCCTTGCCACCTGTTTTCTCCTGGAAATCATGGAGTGACCCAACAGCTGGCAGTGATGAGCTGCAGGTGCTGGAGGCTAGCAGAACAGGGGAGCCTGCTTTTAATTGGGGTCTGTGATGGGGATGGAAAGGAGATGTGAAGGTAGTGAGTGTCACTGGAGCAGTGTAAATGGTAAGTGATGTTTTTTTTTGCTTTTTGTTTCTTTTTTCTCTCATGAAGGTTGGCTGGCTTTAGGTTGTGTTTGTGGAAATTATGAGGAGAGATTGATATGCATCTTCTTTGCCATGCTTTTTTTCCTTGTTCTGTTTATAAATTGCAGTGCCTTTATTTTCAGGTGTTAAGTTATGGTTAGTATGATTTAGGCTTCAATTATGGCAACTAATGTTCCCAGATCTGACTGAAGTCAGAGCAGAACTGGAGCAGAGCCTTTTGTAGAGAGGGACTCAAGGCAGACATTTGTATTACTGTCACCATTGAATTTGTACAGCTAGGATCTTGCAGCAGAGAATACGTCTAAGTAAAAACACTCATTTTTTTTATCCAAATGCCATGCCTTTTGGTGGCTTGAAACTAGACTGTGACCTAGGAACTTCCTTATCAGAGCACAGTCCTGGAGGCATTTCTCTAGTCCTAGGGAAGATGCGTCAAGTCAGATACACAGCTTTCTTTTTTTGCTTTCTTCTTGCTCTGAGCTAAGTTGAAACGCCACTTTACACAAATTTAGTTCAGCCTTCCCTTTTATGCCAGCTACCTAGTTTGGGAAAGAGAGAGGGCACAGCAAAAAGCGTTCCTTAGAGTAAGCAAGCTGGTAGAAAAATACTGAGAGGATAGCGAATGAGATTCTTCCTTCTCTCTTCCTTGTGGCTGAAGCTGAGCATGTGACTTTCCTGAATATGGAGTAGGTTGAAGTGTTCCCAAGTAGGATCAGGAGTTTGGGCTTTTTTGTTGTTGTTTTTAGTGCTAACAGAAAATTTCTAAGGTGGAAAAAAATCTTACAATAAAGGAAAGGAAACTAGTTATTTCAAATACTTCTTACCACGCTATAGGATGCAGCTGGGAGAACATACACAAAGATTTCAGACTTTATGTATTTACTGAAAAAATATATTTGTTAAATTTTAGAGAATTCTGCAATTGCCACAATATCTGCAGTGCATGCTATATATTTATGTTATGAAAGAAATTGTGGAAAAATGTCTTCTGATGATGGATGTGAGGTTAGCTATTCAAACTGAAATACTGTCTCCTCAGTTACGTGATATAGGGCTGCAGTGCTCAGACCATATGCAGAATTAGCTATTTTTAGGCATTTAAGGAAAATTTAAAGGAGGTGATGTGTGTAGGAGAGTGGAAGGGTAAGTTAATTTTAAGAGATATTAACATTTGGAACAAGATATACGTCATCAGAGTGATTTTTTTTTTTTTTTTTCCTAACCGATGCATGTAACATACAAAGGGGTTCACTTGTGTGCTGAACAAGGATGTGTGTGCTTGTTTGTGTGCTGTATATAATGTGAAGGATTTCAGTATGCTCAAGATTATGTGTGTAAGTGTTGGCAGGATCAGAGTCAAAGATGTCAAAAATAACTTGGAGGGCTTGAGGAAATTCACAAAGTGTAATAAGGTGATGCTTCACTTGGTTCTAAAGTAGAAATTGTAGCTGATATTACATTTAATGATGGACTGTGGTCACTGGGTTCACTATGACTGAATAATACCAATATTTTGAGGTAAATGAAGAGAATTGTATGAAGTTGAACTAAAAGTTAGGAGTGCTTTTCCTCTTCCGTACTTGTACACTGATATTATGATTTGCACCTATTATCCTGTATTGCGTGATTAAGAGGGAAAAAAGCACACACACACAAACCAGGCACCTTCCCAACACTTAAAAGAACAAACCATCCCTCTTCCAAGAAATATAATTAAATTAATTATAATTAAATATATATATAATAAAATCAAATAATAATTAAAAACAACAGCAACAAAACCCAAGGTGCATGGCAGAGGGAGGGGTTGGGAAGGGAAAGGAAACACCATCAAAGTGTTTACAGGAACAGATTTGCAGTAGGAATCTATATTTGAAATGCCTTGTGAAAATATAATATATATATGATACTTCTGAATAAAAAGTTCCTCATTCCTCAGCACTGTAGAGTTAGGAACTGAAATGCATTATGGGAGTGATCTAATTGTCTTTGTCTTTGCTAGAAATAAAACTGGCAGGAAACTTCAAACAGTATTGGAAGTACATATGGCCATTGCCCCATGGCAAAGATGTACAGCTGAATTGCATTACCCCTTTGCTTAGGAGTAATTTACTGCTAAGGTGCAGTAGATAAATAAATTCTAGATGTTGTTGTTGTATGATGAAGTGAAATACTCCTTAATCTGTAGAAAATGTGTTCTGCTTCTGTTCTTCTTTCCATTTAGAAGTAATGTTGCTCAGATGAATTTAGAAACACAAGGAGGAATGAACATGCTTTCACCATCACGTTGATTCAAGGAATTTCAAGAACTTTCTACTAGATTTTCAACTCCTTCCGTCTTTATATAATTATTTCATAGTCTCTTTGCATAAATTCATCTTTTTCACTTTGAAATATTTCTTTGGGCATTTATGTATCTTCCCTATAACTTATAGCACAGAAGAGACAAAAATGCCTTCACTGCTCCATTAGGAATGTTGTTGGCTTGTAGTTTTTAGCAAACTTTTGATGTAAGCTGGAAGCAGCATGGGTTCTGTATATGCAGTTAATTAATGTTACTGAATGGATTAATGAACATGTACTGCCCAGAATCCCAAGAAGCTGGGATTGAGGTAACTGTGCACCTTTACAGAAGGGTGGGTTGCCTTTATCGCATATCAGACTGTGTGTGGGTAGTTCAAGAGAAGAAAAACGAAACAGAGAGAGCTCCTGAAGAGACTTCAGAAAAGGAGCCTTAACAGAAAGCATAGAGAACTAGAGCAGTTTAGTCAATCGGGCTGTGGCAGTTTCAACCCTGAAAAACCCTAAAACCTAGAAGAATGAATGAGGAAGTGAAATAGAGGTGAGAGAAGTACTTCAGCTGCTTATGAGGGGGAAAATATCTTACTCCTATGACCCGTGATTAGGAGGCATTCTTGCAGGGGTGCATATGAATTTAAGAATTGTCACTGTCAGTCACTTGTGGAGCAGTTTTGAGCTCATGAAACAGCAGTGGTTTTTATGGAACAACTCTGAACGCATCACTCAGCAGATAGATGCTGCAGGGAAACTTTTGCTCTGAGGAGTGTGTGTTTGACTCTAGTGTTCTGCCTTGCTTAACAAATGTCAGCATAAACCAGAGATGTGCAGAAAGGGTGAGCCAGGAAGAAGTGGGGTGGAGGCATGGTGTGTGTGAGAACTATGAGGATTGGGTGGAGTGACTAGTGAGAAATCTTATTTGTTTTGCAACATGTCACCATTTGGTGATGGTATGCAGTTGTAACTAAAATGTTTTGTGACTTCTTCTGGGTTGTTTCTTATGTTGAGGAAGGAATTATGGTAACAATCATTACTTGAAAGTTTCACTGAGAGTTGAGTGACTCGGAAGTGTTGAAGCAGTTAAATACTGTAAAGTTTTAAACTAAACTTCACTGTGATCTCTCCGCAAAAGATAGTGCGGATGTTTAAAATTAAAAAAGTAGAAAGGTGGAAACCATACGTAAGTGTGTTGATTTTATTAAAAAGAAATCATTCCAGGAGACCTCATTAAGCCAGGACGATATTCTAAAAGTGAATATACATGTTGACAGCTACACCCATAAATTTGAAAACTGCAAACATGTTCAGCATAAAAGCCATTTTTGAAAAAAGCTGTTGCTCTGCCCTTGTACTAATTTAAGAATTGTTCTTTCATTCTGATCTTTATAGTTTCTCTTCACATATATAACTGGGACAGTTTAAAAAATACTTTGCAGAATCTTTCATGATGTCACAAACTTCATAATGCAGATGATTATTTTTAAAAGCATATACATTTGAAGTGTTAAACAAGCTCAATAACACCATTCTTTTCTAAAGAAATAAAATGAACTGTCCTTAGGCTGTAACTCTTGCAAGGAATCTCTGTTTCCCAGGAGCAGGAATGTTAGTTTAAATATCTTGACTGCAGCATTTGTCTTGGGGAATAGGTTCTCTTGTTCTATTAATGCTGTGTCTGAACACACGAAACGTTCACCGTGAGCATGAGGCACTTCTTTCATTACCTGTGTGTCAGGGCACATCCATGGTATGGGCATTTTCAAGTTGGTTTCAGGAAAATAGAGACTTGCATTAGCCCAGCTTGGAGAAAGTGTAGCTGGCACAGGAAGACAAAGCATTCTGCCTATGGACACAGACTTCGCTGAGGAATAAAGTGCAGCCAGTTGTGACCTTAGGCTTGTTTTCTCATCAGTGTGGGAGGAAAGAGGAGGAAAGGTTCTTTTGGTCCATTCTGTGTAGGTGGAAAGAAGATGATATTCAGAAGCTAGAAGAATTTTAAATGAAGATTGGTAACGAGAAATCCCACCTTAAAGAGTATGGAAAGATACCAAAAAGTCTTTAGCAGACTGAAAGGAACTGAGCAAGGACTAGACTTGGAGTTTGAATAGTTCTTGGAAAGAAACATGAAATGTGACTTTTCATTTTTTCCAAGTTTGACTAGGCAAGAATTTTTTTCTCGCTGCTCATATATATATATATATTTTTTTTTGTATGATCTAATCACTAATTTTTGTCATATTTAGCAGGTCTTTCAGTCTTCTGTGGTCCTACTTTGTATTTGTTTGAGAAGGTATTGTTTCAGCTTACACGTGTGTTAGCTTAACTCTTCTCACAATTGCTAATGTGTTGTTTTCATTACTGCATGAAACAATGTGACGATAACCTTGAATTAAAATATTTTGCATA